TTTTTTCGTTATATATGCAATTAATTATGAGGGAAGGAATTTAGTGTGACTTTGACTAGAGAAACACCATACCAATTTCTATAACTTAATATTTGATTTAAAAATACATAGTACCTATTACACTATCATGTAAAAAAAAAAACACGTCCGACATTAATAATGTTGTTTACATAAATAAGCCACAGAGCAGTAATTAATACCATGGACTGTGGAGTTTTTTTTGTATACTCGAAATCTTTTTAATATTAATTATTTACTCATGTTAATATTTTATCGTCTGGTTACATAACTCCATCATATTATATACAATTATGTACCAAATAGCTCTGTGATTTGGACTAAAGATATTTTAAATATATTATTTTATAGTAAATAAACGAAAATAACCTACTACGTTTTTTATGAGATTGTTAATAATTATTGTAATTAAAATTACAATTTTCTTTCTAATAGCGGTAACGATAAAATAAAACCAAAAATCTTATAGTTAGAGGTATCCACAGACATAATATGGTGATGAGTATAGATATACCTATAGTATACGGTCATAGTATTAGTTTTCTGTACAAGATTGTTATTTAAAACCTTTCAAGACTACAGATTTAAGTATTTAACGGTTGGTTAGATATTTAAAAATAACGAAATGTACATCAACGAAATCCTCTAGGCGATCAACACACCATAATAGTAATAACATGACTATGCATTTTCTTGACAGCGTTCGTATAATAATATATATTGTATATTAAGTGAGCATCTCGACTGTCGAGTGTGTTGGAAAATAATCGTCGGCCGATGTGTTGGATCGGATTCAAGAAAACAACCCGGTGTGGCGGTGTTGTTATATATACATTGTTGCACTGCCGGCGCGATTATAAATCTAGAAATCTATTTTTTGACGCCGTCGACGTTTGCCACACGTAAACCGTATAATATAATATTATTTAAATATTATGTAGATATCTACATATACAAAACGTAATAAAAATAAAAATAATATGCACCTTTCGTTATTAATACGCCGGCACGTCCGAAACATACAAATATTATAATAACATATCGGTGGGTACTACGCCAGTGGATTAAAATATAAAATGATCGACTTGGCAAAACGGTATCACCACTGCAAACAATGAAAAACTCGCAATATCATAGCCTCAATGATATAATATTAATTGTTATTATCTTACAACATAATGTGGGCAGTGATGTATTGGTAATTTTTTTCTAGGGTATACGCTTAGCACATAAGCTCAAAAAAAAAATTTTCTAAACAAACATAAAATTAACTTATGGTGGGTCGTGCGGTATACCACCGCGCCTTTATAATATGTCGATTTATTTATCTAGCCCCCCCCCCCAGAAAACGGATTTTAGACATATTGCATCAGAATGAGATGGAGTTACAGTGCTTAGAAACTTCCTTTAAAAAAGAAACTAAATTCTTTACCATTCCTGCCTTGAAGATAGGAATTAGTTCCTTTCCTCGTTCCTTTTTAATGTGACTTAAAATAAAATAAAAAAACATAGGTACATCGTACATGTTTATACTATAATTGTTTTAATTTTAAAATTGTAAGCATAACACATTGTTATTTAGGAATTTAGTAATAGTTTTAAATTATATAATTAATAAGCTGTATAAATAAACCTCTGCTACAGAAATACAGAATTTATATTTTGTAAACATTATCAATAATATCGTATACAGGTTTATTTTTATAGCTCTTCATATTAGTTACTAAATTTTAATAGAAGCTAAACATTTTTTTACTTTTAGTTTTAAAAATGATTTAATTACTTTTATTTAAAAATAAATGAACAAAGAAAGGAAAGAAAAAAAATAGTTCATGTTCCTCTAAAAAGTGAACGAAATTTCAGTACGTTCCTAAACATGAAAAAGGAACTACGTTCCCGATAAGTTCCTAAAAATGGAACGAAATCAAAGGAAGGGATTCCTTTGAACGAGTTCATTCCAAGCACTGAGTTAGAACTTACTTTTTGTTACATAATTTCGTTCTGTTTGCCATGTAAGCAGTAAAAAAAAATTGATCTAATACATTTTTCTAACGATTATTATTTATTTATTTATTTATTTAAAATTCTAACGGATCGTAAGATCCAGGTTCAATATATATATATATAATAGTACAATATTGAAATTAATATTAATTATACAAATAGTAGTAACAATAATAATAATAATAATAACCACAATAATACAAGAATAATAATTATAATTATAATACAAAATCCATTAAAAACATAAAGATCTATTAACATAATTATTAAAAGATTCCAAGGAAGTAAAATTAAATAAATCAATGTTGGTATCGTTCGCTAATGACATAATTCTGTTTATAGGTGAAGATAATAAATAATTTGTACTTTGAGAACCTATATAAAAAGTATTATTAGACCTAGTTCTACGTTGAGGAACGTTAAAATTGAGGAAACTTAATAGTTCTGGACAATCAGTGTAACCATTTACTAGTTTAAATAAAATTTTCAAATCTATTTTTTTTCTTCTATCCGATAAAGTATCAAGTTCAAACAAATTTAATAATGGCTGGTAAGGAGAATGTGACTCTCGTATAACATTACATTTGTATGCTAAAAAACGTATGAAACGATTTTGAACATTCTCTAAGCAGTGAATTTGATGTTTTTTGTTATTATAAGACAATTGGTAATTAAATAAAATCTTTTTTACTAAGAATATATTCTGAATAGTAATATATTACATAATTTCATAAATATAAAATAATTGACTGACTGACTTCTATAGTCATCTGTCTATCTGCAAATTCTTATCAATGTCGCTGTTTTCTACCAAATCTAACTGATTGTGATAAGGCATCTGTGAATAACTGTTTTGTTTTTGAAGCCGCTGTCGATCCAATAAATACAATATCATTCTTATAATCGGCAGTCCCTCAAGTCAACCATAACTATACAGATAATATTATAAAAATATCTGTGGACTGTGTCCATAACGTTGATAGTTTTAAATAATTGTATCCATATCCGTGATTATAATTGTAAATATATGAATTTGATATTGATATTATGGTTATTAGTCGATTATAATTAAAAAAAATTTGATAATTTTCAATAATAAAGATAAAAATTTTTTTTTGGAAGCAATTAATATTTTATTTTACTTAAGTTTTTTGAAGGTATACGTGGGTATACGCGCGTATACTTGCGTATCTCTAGTAATTTTACAGGGTATACGCTAAATCAGTAAACTGGTGATAGGGTATACGTCGTATACCCGCGTATACCCTCCAAAACACCACTGAATGTGGGTATGTGTTTGTGTGTAATGACTGAATATGATAGGCGCAATTATAAAATTATAATACTGCAAATCATGGATAACTTACCAAGACATTACATAATATATTATACTGAGCTATATAATATATAGCTATAGTACCCATATAGACATATTAACACATACCTACATAGTGTGTATATTAGGTAGTAGGTACTATATTATTATTATACGCACACGACACATACATTAAATAAAGTGATTGTAGTGATTATTAGTTATCTAATGACTAATAGGGTCATGTGTGATCGATTATGGTCAGTTTAGAGTCTATACTATACCTAGGCTATAGACAATATTGTAATAAGACTGCAGAGTACCTATATTATAAAAAATAAGCTATCCTCTCCTATAACAACAATAACAGTTTTCGAACCAAAATCAAGCGAGAGGGTGTGTACAACAATAAGAACATCACGTTACAACCAATTGTCAAAAAATTAAATCGAGGTTTGGATTTTTGGGGTCACTAAAGTACCCACTAAGCATCCTTCAATAATGATGGGCGCCGCTCGCAAGATGCAAGATAATATATTACCTATTATTATTGTTATAACACGTGAACACGTCGACTCCCTCTCACAGCTCTGACCGGAGGGGTTACTTTCCGGTTGAAAATTTAGAAACCTTGACACGCACAGCTATATATATTTATAAACAATATAATATATATACCTACACCCACGTGGCGTATGTGTAGCAGTTTGTATTTGTCAGCCGAGTGTTATATTTGTCTATATTATATAATAATATATAATGAACCCTTTCAGACTTTCGGTGCTACGAGAGAAAAAAAATAAAACCGTTTCCGGCGTGTACAAAAAAAAAGTATTAAAAAATAAAAAATAAAAATGTAGTGTCGGGTTAGGTTAGGGGGCGGCAATACGGCGGCGTCAGCGAGCCGAGGATGGAATACATGTTGGAGGAGGGGTGGCGAGGAGAGCAGCCATATGGGTTGCTGTCGACAAATATTTGCCGACACTCGAAGGGTATTGTAAATTTAAACCCGTTTTGTGTTCCACCCGCTCGCACACACGGAACACGTGTGCGTGTGTGTATGTATGAGTAAACGTTTCCACGCGCTTATATATACAGACATATATTATAATATGTATTATAATTATATATATAAACTCGTATGTAAAATGTGTATCATATTATATATGCGTACGCCATGCACACCGCAACCTCGGCCAATAATGATATTTATTTTATTATTACTATTATTGTGTGTACACATAAATGCAGATTATCGGTTGGCGGGCGAGTGCGTGCGTGCGTGCGCGGCGCGTGTAAACAAGGCTGTCGTCGGTCGCGTTCGCCCTTCGCCTGCCGTCTCCGTCGTCGGCCGATCGACTCTACCCACTATAATATAAATACTACTGCGACAAGAAACAAAACAAAAATACATAATATATTATAATAAATGTAGGTATACAGAAACACGATAAAACGTAAAAAAAAATAAAATAAAAACCGGTAAATGGAATGCGGTCGGAACGCGATATCCGACCGGAATGAAAATGTAATTTTTTTCGGTCCGCTTGTATGTATATATATATAGGGAAAATAGGATATTATTAACTCCCCGGGTTATTGGTGAAATTAAAGGGCGCATTAAGCGAACGTGATCGGAATTCGCAGGGTCGATTCAGCGCGTATGCGTCTCACGTTCTCGAGCGTATATGCAAATCCGGACGTGCTGTGCGCGCACCGAACGGCGCTCGGGAGTGTCGGGGATCCGCTGCATCAAGGTGGTCGGCGGTGGGGTTGCCGGTGTGATCCGGCACAGGGGAATTTGCGATTCAGATCAGTTTTAGCGGCGTCGTTGTTGTCGTCGTCGTTGACTTTGCCGGTGGTGGCTGCCGCGGCGTGTGTACAATATCGATCCCTCAGAAATCGGCCGATAAAGACTGCAAAGGTCACGCGGGTGTCTCCCCTCTGAAACCGCTGCCACCGCTTGTCCGACGCACTATACTATACACAGTACACACACACCGCGCTGCGAAGTGCATACGTGTGCGTGTATATACCACCTGGCAAACGGCCAGATCGCTTCCGAACGACGATCGCCATCGGTTTTCTTTTCTTCGCCTCTCTCTCTCTCCCTCTGTCTCTCTTTCTCTTTCTCTCTCTGTCGGACACACTGCATTGGTCGGTCAGTGGTAGCGGCTTTCTCGGTCGTGCTCACAATAATATTATATACACTACATAATATTATAATACGTGCTAGGCGCACGTTCCGCCCGCTGTCGTTTGTCATCGTACAGTGATTGCCAAAGTATAGACGCACGCGCGTATAATATATTATAGTCGCAACCACGCGATTACTTCCACCTTACCGTTTCTCCGTTTCCCTGGTGTATGCATTTGTGTGTGTGTGTATGTTTACCCCGTATACTCGTGTTATTTTTGACGACCGTGATGATCAACCGAATTCTGAACACGTATATTATAGTACATAAATACATTATAAAATAATTAATAATAATAATTATATATATCATTATATTTTAGCCTCAAAAATAAATAAAGAGAGAAAGAGCAAAAAGCGGATAGAGGGAAATAGTGTAAAAGAGTGCGAAAAGTGATTATATGAATATAAGAGTGTGTTGAGTGTGGTGTGTGAATCGGAACGGTTTTCAGAATGATTCGAAAACTTATAATCGATGCATATATACACACCATACATAATATATAGTAAGTAGGCTACTATAATATATTAGTATGTAGTAATACTATATACACTATAAGTACAGTATATTATATATTATATAAAATAAATCGTTTCGACGAGTACTGTTAGTAAATTTTTATTATATTATATGAAGTCGCCTCTCTGGCTGTGAGTCGTTTGTCGTCAACAAGAGTTTTCTCTTATTTTTTTTCCTCTCTGTGTTTGTCACTTGTTTTTATTTCAATCCCGTCGATCCGTGTCAAACGCTGTTTTTCCCATCCGTAAACTTCACACTCCATTACGACGTCTGCACGGTATTGATTAGTACCTATATATATAGCATTTATATAGCTATAGTGTTGTTTCACTGATGTCGTTGGTTTTTATGTGTTCTCGCTGTGTGTGCACATAATCGAGAATAATAAAAAAAAATATTTAACGAGTGCCCGTGGTAAACAACAATAACTAAATAAATAAAACTGGTGACGGTTTGCACGCTTTGTCGGAACCTAACACGCATATTATACCTGCGTATAAACCCATAGGTACTATAATAACATCAAACCGAACAACGATCAATCGGCGGAAACTATGGTCTATGATAAGCCGAGATGGCGAGATCAATAAAAATTATCGCCTGTAATCGCGAAACATGGGCCGCGCGTAGGTGAGCTGTACGCGAGCGATTCGCGCCATTCGCGGACGGTGTATTAATAACATTTTAACGAGGGAAACCAAAACGGGCGAATTCCTCGCGTACCTAACCCGACACAAGCCCTCCTCCCAACAACACCGTCCTAATTGCGGTCAATTATAGTAATTATTTTTTTTTTCCCCAGAAATAATAATAACGACCCGGCGCTCGGAGTGGAAATTAAAAACAGTTTAATAATTACACGTTGCGGAAAGTGTGTCTTAAAATACTGAAATTAAAATCAAAACGTCAAATCAACATTTTCATATTACAATATATTATATCGTTGTAAATACACACATTTCGGGTACATGTTATGTATCATAACTTGACACGCGACCAAAACTTGTACAAATTACTGCTTAAAGTATAATAAAATATAGTATTATAATATTGTTATTATCATCGGTAGTGAACACGAGTTATAATATTATCGCCATTGGGGCCCGAGGCGGAGCTGCCGTTCTGTATAATACCGTATAGGTATGCCTCTATATCACATTATACTACACTTAATTACGCGTTAATTTGTTCGTCGGTGTTATTACTATTAATATTATGATTTAAAATTATGTATGTACGAGACAGCGTAAAAGGAGAAAACACGAAAACGACATGATAATTATAATCATCGATGGAATATTATTTTTTTGTAACGTTTTTTTGCTACATCGGCACACTAATAATAATATTGTGTAAAAGGGCAAGACGGTTTATTCACCAATACTACTCCGGATTTGCCTACGTTGGTGTAATGACATGCAGGAATTCTCGTCCGAAGCGAGCAGCGTGCAAGCGCGTCGTTTTCGCATTTCCTGTTTTGGCCTTTTGCGTTGACCATTATTGTGTGGGGGGGAGGTGCACGGTGGTGGTCTCGTATGCGATTCTAGCGGTGACACGCTCGCTTTTGGGCGGATAGGGCTGACGGGAAAACCATGACCAACAAATTATATGACTTTGCCGCCGCCGCGCGTCCGTCATTATACTCGGCGGCCCCCACGACCATTATTGGTACGCACGGTTTTATTATTATCATTACGAGTATTATTATCATCGTCGACCGTCGTCATTATTATTATTATTATTACCACACCGAGTCTGCATGGTAGGTATACGCTTGTATATACACGTTGTCGGACGACGCCCACGGTATGTGTACTGCTAATCCCCCTCCCCTTAATTGGGTCTCGATTTATTACATTGTCGTTGCGGTCGCCTGTTTTCTCGTCCACCCCTCTCTCACCGTCATTCCCCGCCGATAAACGTACACCCACACATATTAAACCAAAACCGATTCCGAACACCAAGCGGTACACGACAACAACAATAATAATATTATATTATGTTATACGTGCGACCGACGATGGGTTTATTTATTTTCCTCATTTTTTGGGAATCATTGGACGCGCGAGTATCTTATTCAATTTCATGTCTATCGGCTCTATTTATCACCGCCGTCGCCGCCACCATTCCGCTTCATCAGATAAACCGCCATCGTAGCGTAGAGTCGTTGTGTATAGTCGGCGGCGGTAGAAGATTACGTGCATTCCACTCGCAGACCTCCCGGGCGGGAAGTGATCGGTGGTGCGGTGGAAGAAGGACCGGCGGCGGAGGCGACGTGGAACTAGTGGCCGTCATGGTGGTGCGGTGAGGGAGACGGTACACGACTGTCGGATGGCGGAACGGGTCGGAGTCTCGGAGGGAAGTGATGGGCGGGCGGGTGGGAAAGACGGTCGATATTTCGTATATACGGTCGACGGCGGCGGCGGTGGTTAAGTGGGCTCCACGTGGAGCCGGCCGTAGCAGATGTCCAACAGCCAATCGCCGTCGACTCAGGTTTTTATAAACTTTTTAACGTCCCGTAGACCGCCGCCGCCGCCTCCGTCCCGCCCCACCGCACCGTCGGCGCTCACGTCGCAGTGTGTACCCGCCGCCGCTGCCGCCCCACGTCCCACGTCCCACTTCTGGGGACCCCGGCGTTATAATTAAAGTATTCCGGGAACCACCGACCCGAAATTGTCGGCCGCCGACCGCCACTCCTCCGTCCATCACACGATGACGGTCGGCGGTTTTTATTTTCCGTTTCTAGCGCTCGCACACGCACTCACGCCGTGTTTTCTTCTTCTTATTATTATTATTCTCGTCTTCTCGTCTTCCATAGTAATATTGTAATAATAATATTCTCCTTCTAATAAGCGTTTATTACATACGTTGTAAGTATATTATGTTTTATAAGATAAATAACGGCCCTTCCTCCCCCAACCAGAGTAGATTTTAGATCGGTTTCACACACACACACCCAGAGTGTACTGCGTCTAATTGGCACCACTGGCGGCGGCGAAAAGAATGTGCCGCGATTGTTGGCGGATGTGCTCGCGCCATCGTGTGTATGTGTGTGGTTTGTACGCAGTCTGATTTGTGTGTGCGTGTGTGTGCTCGCGCGTATGCATTCGAGTCACGACTCGGGCACGACTCTTCACGGAACACGACAAAAAACAACAGTTTTAACGGGCTAATGGCCGGCCTGTCATGTCGGACAAATGCGACCGGTATACCGTCGTCGCCACCGCCGCAAAAATAAATAATCGAAGAGAAGTAAAAAATGAAAGGAAAAAAAACAAGTAATAAAGTAAAAAAAAAAAATACCCGCTCCTTCGTTATAGGAATTATTACCCGTTTAACAGCGTGCAAAAAAAAACTCAGTCTTAACATTCACACGGCACGCCGCCGTCATTAAAGAAATTATTGCCATTTGCGGAGTTCAGAAAAAACATTTTAAATTAAAATGTGCACATTCCCTGGTGGACTCCGTAAACCAGATTAGGTATACGATATAAAATAAATAAAAAAAAGGATCACATGACGGCTGGCTGTAGCCATCCCGAGCGTAAAATAATAATATTATTATGTGTTCAACGAGGTCCATAACGCACGGTTATTGGGTTTTGCAGAGTTGAGGGGATACGATCGACATTATATTATATAGACTATACCATTATAATAGTCCCCCATCTAACAGACTTCGAAACGATTTATTTTTCTCGTTGTTCGTTCATAATAAATAATAATATTATATTAAATAATAATTAATTTCTCGAAAATTCACCGTGACGATGCCAAACAAAATAATATAATATGTTATGAATATTATATGATAATAATAATATGTTGTAGCGAGTAAATAGTCTGACGTGAATAAAAGAATTTAAAAAATGCGATTATATTATTTCGATTGTTGTCTTATTATCTGTTGTATTCGAGGTAGACACTGAGAAGAAAAAACCATTCTCTAAGCTCAACGGTTGTTAAAAGAATATTATAAAGCATCGTGAAGATACAGCAAAGAAATAAGAATTATATGTATTGAAAAAAAAAACACTTGTGAAATTATAAAATACGCAGTAAACTGATCAGTGTGCTAAGAGCGTACTACTTGATAACTACTCAATGACTGAATAACGTATAATAAATATAGTGAGTAATAAGCGTACTCTCAATTGGTACGTCACTTATACAGTTACACCAGAAAATACTAAACAAACAATACTTATAAGACAACGTTTATATATTTATAGTCGAATTTCAATGGCCCGTTATTACTATTTATTAGTAAACTATTATTACTGAAATTGTTATTAGTTATTACTTCAAATAAGCCATAAAGTAACGTATTCTATTTTAAGACAATTCATTTATAATTTGACCATAATATACAATAGCAACGAAAACTTTTTATCTCCCTGGGTCTAAATTAAATAAGCCATGGATAAACATATTTTATTGACTAATCGGAACATCTATAAAAATGCATTTGTTCACCCTATAGTAAATTAATTTAAATTATATGGTTAGATACTTGAATCGAGTTTTGATGGATATAAATATGATATAGCTTATAATAATATAATTTATGTAGATATTGGATAATAATAATATTATATAAATATATGAATATATGATAATTAATATCTGATTAATTAATACAAAAGCTTATAATATATAAATAATATATCGTGTATGTAGATTATAATGATTTATGATTACAATTACAACAAACAATTAGTATAAAATATAATAACTATTATTTAATTGCTACTTAATTAAATATGTTCAATTAAAAAAAAAGGATGAAACTCAAAAAGAGACAAGAATGTTTTTTTTTAATATGACCACAATAACGATGACTGAGTTGAAGAACAAATATTTTGATGAATCTCAATATAAAAATATCGTAATCACTAATCAATAATCATTAATCTCATTAAAATCTTGAAATAAAATGCTACTAGAATTTTAATAAAGAAAAATATAATTTTATGGCACCGTGCTGCCTCTCGTACTGGCCGTATAATATTATAATGTAAAATCAACGATGGCCCAAACGAAGATGGACGGATGTGATTGAAAATTTGAAACATATACCTACGCCATATTTCTATAGTATGAGTGTATGGCCTAACGAAGATGGACGGATGTGATTGAAAATTTGAAACATATACCTACGCCATATTTCTATAGTATGAGTGTATGGCCTAAAAATCACAACAACGATATTCGTACATAATATATTCGCCACGAGGCTTAGGTACTTTGCATGGTTAAGCCACCGTGACCGCCCCTCCGGTGTCACTGAGCCTTGTCGGCGGATCGCACCATCAAATCGATGGCACCATTATAATAATAATATGATTTTATTAATAATAACATATCTCCAGTCTCAAATAATAACGAAGTCTTCGCTCAAGCGTTGCTTTCTCGTGCGATCCAAATAAACTCTAATTAAAATATTGAACCTCACCGGACTAAACCTGTTGTATGTACGATACAATATATTACACTCGCTAGTGGCTCACGTCTCACATACACCAGCTCGCGGGCACCGATATTTAAACACATAACAAGTAATGATGACGATGATGATAATAATAATAATAATAATTATTATTATTATTATTATCATTTATTGGCACCGATTTTTTCGGCGTCGGTCGACGTGGTTAATTATAATAATAATTCTTTCAATCGACCGGTTCGCCTATACCGTAAAAAATACATAGTAAATTATACACGATTATAATGTTATTATTGCTACACGATCTGCAGCAGCACCGCCCTCGGGAGCTCTGACGCCGGTTTGATGGCTGTAGCGGTAGTTTCGGACAATAATAATATCAGGTATATTATCAGCATTTTGCCGGTTATACGAAAAAAATGTGTGTTTTTGACTGCTTTGAGTCATCGTTACGATTTTGAAAATATTGATATGTGTAGTGTCATCATTGTACGCATGCATAATATTATAGAAGATATGACGGTCCGGCGAGACACGATTACGGGTTGTGACCGGAGACGGAGGAAACATTGTAATAATATTTATTTATTGATATCAATTATATCGGAGCGGCGTTGACGGTCGTTGTACAACGTATACTGCTATTATATTCAATATTATTGAGCAGGACTCTGACGCTGCAGACTGTATTCTATACATTACGCTGTTTGCTGTTTTTGCCCGTCATTTGTTTTGCGTTCTCTGGAAACTCGTTTCAAGACGACTGCCGCGCGTTGTTTTCATCCAATTAAGGAATAATAATAATTGTGCGTGAACGCCGCCGCCGACGAAGTGTAAACCACCACTTCCAGTTTCCACCGGTGTATTTTGTCGTATAATAATGCTATGCGCCGAGCAACAGATACAAAGTACACCAGCCATTCCACGCAATAAAATAATATATAGGTAGGTACCGCCTATACGGCTATACGAAAGATATAATATTATACGTATGAAATGAAGCCGGCGGTGGCATACACAAACTGCATCAGTATATAATATATGGTTGTGGCGGCGTTTATTAATTTGTAGTCGGGAAGAAAATAATGTAATATATAAAGAGCGCACAGTCGTGGCCGTCGTATTCGTCGGCGGTGCGGCGAGTGTGTCTGTTCTGTTATGTATTATACCTCTATAAGTCCTATAATACACATTCTAATCTCATGTTCACTCACCCCGTCTCTCTCTATATTGTATAATATACACGCGGGGGTGTAATTAAGATATTTCGCACTCCCTGTATTCAAAATACGGACCGGCATTCATAATGGTGGTAAAATAGCGACGAAAATAACTTCAAATAACTGCGATACTGCAGTATAGTATAGTATATTGGAATCATTAAATACATCACAAAATGAGCGATGGCCGTCGCGGTGGCGTTGCCAAAAACTATTTAGACAATAATGATATTCCCCCTTTAATTTGTTTCGTTCCACAGCCAAACACACCGCAAGTCACAACCGACTACTCACATTATATTCTACGCGGAACGGACCGCGACCCGGCGGTATTCGAAAATCTTAATTCTCCGTAATTCCTATACTTCGGGCCGGAAACAAATCAATTATTCCAACGATATTGGCTGCTCTACGAAGACGAGGAATTTCGCGTCTATTTCACTGGCGTATAGTTGAAATAAATGATAAACTCAAGTGTATAAACATAATGTACACTTGATATTGGTACATTATAATATAATCATAGCAATTAGTGGGAGACTTGAATACTTAATTAAAATTAGTATCTGATTACAATGTAGTGCTTTATAGTATACGCAATGACGCCATATATGTAGTGTTTATCGGCGCGGTGCCTCG